ATATTTTTCGATAACAAAATCAATTACATTCAATTGCACAAAATCAGGATGGATTTATCTTTGTTTTCTCATGAATGTTTTTGCCACTATTTTTACATTGTATTGAGGTGCCACATCTAGGTATAACTCGTTATGTCTTCGACGTTCTCTTACTTGCATATCTGAACTATGTTTCCTTTTTTTATAAAGATGCCAAAAAATCTCGCCTCCCCTTCCCGCACTAAATAAGTTAACGAGTTTTCTTTCAAAAATATAAAAAAATAGGTCAATTTTTTTTCTTCTTCTGTAGGTCTTGCAAACCTTGAGTTCTTTTTTGATTTAACATTTTCATAAGTTATTCCATCTTCTCAATTGCTATATGTACATCCGAAAGTTAAACTTTTTTGTCTTAATCTCTTTAAAAATAAAAAAGAACGTTATACAAATTTTATATTATCAAATTTTCTTGTGTTATCTTCAAAGTGGATCTTTACAAGTTTTATAAGAAAACATTTGCATATTGTATATGACATTCGTTCTTCTACCGAGGGTTCAGGTATGCATGCGGATCAACATCTAAGTTAAACATATTAGATGTGGGGCTATGATATTCCGCTTCAAGCTCAAAAAGATATTGCAAAGGTGGAAGACGAACAAAGTTGACTGTGGGGATGAACATAATTTAACCACTTACATTTCCCATCACCAAAACTTACCCAAGAGTTATACCAAGATTTGCATTATTAATCACAACCACCTCAAATACGTACAAGGAACTGAAAAGAAGAAATACTAGAGTACAAAATAAAAAGAAATACTTTTGCACTTGTGTCACACCCCGGAAGTTTAGCACACATGCATACACATACAATTATGTGCGGAATACCCAACTATTTAAAATTTCGAGACATCGCCTCTAAATTTATAACAAAATTCTAGTGAAAAAAAAAACATTCATGTAAAAGGATTAGTACATCATGTGAGACTTTTAATCATACGAAAGACAAAATATGCATAATTAAGTGAAACATCCTTCCAACGTTAAACCAACGCCTTTCTACCTTGTACACTCTAACCTTCGATGTTGCATTTTCGATGTTGCGTACATGTTCACAGACATAACGAAATGGACAAATCCAAAATTAAAAAACAAAGTCTTTGTACTGTCGACACCTACCATTGACACCTACTATTGACACTTATGAATTGGGGTGAGGAAACCGCTCAGGAGGGGTTATTATTTAAAAAATGACGTATATGTTGAAAAACAAATATTGAAGGACACCTTGTGCAAATATAACAAATCAAGTTTTATAAACCGATTGGCTCTCTACAGTGTTAGGTCACACTACAAGCCAAACTATCATTGACATAAAATAAAATAAACCTTTAAGGACGTCTAGACAAAAGAGGGCCGCAAAAGAGTTTTGCACTTGCATTTCTCAAGTATTATATTCAAAAAGTTTGTTGTATTGCACTGCTAACACATATTATATTTGTCAATTGTTATGTGAACATAACACATCCATCACCAAAATTGATGGATTTAAAGATACAAACTTGCCCACCGCAGCAACGTTTGTGGCACAATGCTGCACACAGTAGAAAGTTGCCCACAGAGGACAGAAGGACACAAAGCAAGATACAAATAGCAAATCGTAACAAAGACATGAAAACATGTAGGGTTACGTATCTCAACGATTCTCAAGTCATCATAAAACCACAATCAACAGAAACTGTGAAACACATATTTTAAGCAACAATGAGGACCAACTTTGCTTTGGCCTCACATCCCCTCTGATTTTAGCAAGCTGGAACAGGTATGGTATGACTTGATACGGTAGGCAACACCATGGGCAATCTGGAAAGAGAGGTGCAGCATCACACTCGACAAGACAAGGAATCCCCGAGAAAAGGTTTGCGCAGCAACCAAGAACCTCATTGAGGCAGAAATCCTGTGTAAAATTGTAAATGGCACAGTGTGAAACTTCTAATTCAGGTGGACCCAGAACTCAGAAAGGCAACAAAAAGCAAAGTTCGAGGGGACACGGCTGGGGAAAGGCAAGGTGGCCACGATACAAGGAATGGGCATCAAATGGGAAGACTGGCACAACTTCGACCCATCCACGGCAAGACAAGACAGCCGCCACCAGCCCGAGTCCCAGTATCCCATTTGGGCACAAGATACAGGCTGTGGCAATCCTCTAGAGACCACAACTTGGAGCCGACCTATGGAGACTGCCGAACTCACTCTTACACGTACAGGCTTTGGCGAAGGGTCTGAGAGGAGTTAGGACAGAATGGCAAGCTGACGGTCAATCCTCCAATGCAGGAGTAATCAATGCTGTTGGGGGCTCTGTGCGTAAATGTTGTACAGATATGACTCGCCAGTAGAAAAAGAGCTGGATTGATGCTCCCGGGAACGGAAATTGCGCCAGGACCATAAGAACCCGTTTTTCCCAAAAAAAAAGGAAAAAAAGTGTGAGTCCTACAGGGCATTTGTTAAAACTCGAACGATACACAGAAGGTTAGCATGGCCCCTGAGGACAAAATGGCAAGTTGACAGTCAATCCTCCAATGCTGCTCAGGGGTCCTTCGGCCAAACTGAACGAAGCGAGTGAGTACATGTTGTACAGATATGACTTGCCAAAGAGCCGGATTGATGCTCCCCAGAATGGAAACAGCGCCACGACCATAAGAACCCGTTTTTTCAAAAAAAAAAAGAAAAAAGTGCGAGTCCTACAGGGCATCTGTTAAAACTGGAACGACACAGAGAAGATTAGCATGGGCCCTGCGCAAGTACGACACGCATAAGTCGAGAAAGGGTCCAAATTAAAAAAAAAAAAAAACAAGCAAGTGCGAGACTTCAATCCTGAAGCAGAGGACGGTAAGCAAATCATCCTGCACCTGACTGCCATGTAAGCAGAGAACAGTCACACAGCCACATCGTCACACAATCACCTTTTTCTCCCTTTGTTTTCGTAATGGCAATCACTATTACAGTTTACATCGAATCATCATCATCATCATCATCATCATCATAATCATCATCATCATCATCATCATCATCATCATCATCATATGAGGGACGCTGAGCCCGGTTCTCAGCATGCTCGGTTCGGTCACTCCGGGTAGACTGTGAGGACCCCGGCCTTGAGCCCGGTTCTCAGCATGTTCGGTTCGGTCACTCCGGGTAGACTGTGAGGACCACGGCCTCAATCTTGTTATTGGTAATATCAGCCTTTGGCACTGGGCCCGTATTAAAAAAAAAAAAAAAAAAAAAAAAAAACACTCTACCATGGATAGTCCACTGCAACAACACTTCACTGCAAAAGGGCTGCAAGAGGTAGAGCACTCATTGGGCTAAGGTGGCCAAAGGCTTTGCCCAACCCCAAGCAAAGTCCGGACCTACAGAGGGTATCCTGTCCATACGTTATTGAATCATACGAAGACAGTCGTCTTTCTTCAATCATAGTGTAAAACAAGGCCTGTGCTCTCTTTCCCCTGTTGTGCCCCTTCTCCACCTGGTTTCCTATTCACTGCTGACAGAAGATACCCTGTCCATCCGTTATAGGGTTTATTTATACACACAGGGCCTTCGTACAGTCATGCTTCAAAGCAACCACTCTGCTCTTTTTACCCTCTTGTGGTCCTCCACCTGTTAAACAATCAGTGGCTCAGAACTGCGAAACACCATGCGCCAATATATGCAGGGGCATCCTCTTGTGCTCCTTCTCCACCTGTTAAACAATCAGCGGCTCAGAACTGCGAAACACCATGCACCAATATATGCACGGGCTATGTTTTCAATTCACTGATGACCGGAATCTGCGGTCCAATTCATTTTCCCTCCGTACCTAGGTACCTGTTAGGGCTCTCGGTCCCTGGCTCTTCCAATTCACTCTGATATCTATCTGAGCTTTACCTGAATTGGATTGCTGACCGCAATGTTGCATCTGGAGCGGACATGCTTCAAGTTGCTGTATGAGTGGTTGTGGTTACCGAGTCGAACCTTCTGTACGCTTTTTTGAAGTTTTTTCCATATTAGTATTATATTACACAGGTAGGTTCTATTCTGAGGATACCATTTGCTATATTCCGAGGATACCATTTGGTATATTATGGCTCCCAAGGAAGATTCATACTCCCTTTCCCCCACAATCACAGTCATGTGCTGACCATGCAACGTCAACCTATACCCTTGCATCTCAACAAGCATGCCCACATGGTGAGCATATTCTGACAATGTGGACACAGACAGTGGATACTCCCTCCACACAGGGCATTCTCCCTCCCATCACTAGATGTGGATGATGCAAATGAATTGCTAGTGAACAAATTGCATACACCTGAGGTCCTCACAACCAAAAAGCACAGGAACCCCTCCGTACGTTTAAGCAGAGAGAATGTAGGAGGTAAGAAGGAGAAAATGAGATTAGCACACTCTGAGAGAGTCTACCGACCTTGCTGCCATGGAAAGCATGGACATGTTATCGACCAGATAAATAATTGCCATGCCTTTGTGTGTGTGTGTGTGTGTGTGTGTGTGTGTGTGTGTGTGTGTGTGTGTGTGTGTGTGTGTGTGTGGGTGTGTG